AAAGAGAGAAGCTTTTTAAAAATAAAATAAAGTTCTATAACCTCCAGAACCTGTTGGATTTTAAAACCTAACTACAGAAAGACAGAGGATTGCAATAGTAGCAAGGAACCGCTGCAATTTCAGTGAGTTAAGGCAAGCTGTTAGCAGGACCAGTACGTGCATGCTTCTTTCACCCATCGGCTCACACGCTCCCCTGCTCTCTTGCAATATATGCCCGTACAGATAGCGCAGGAGGTCACACCCCAAACGCAGCCCTCCAACTGGAAGAGGAATCTTGTAGCAGCAGTTGCTACAGCACGGCATCTATGCGGGATGTGCAATGACAGCAACTGGGTTGTCGTTTTCTTTGGGGGAGGAAAGCAAGGGACGCAGATGTGTTGCATGAAAAAGAGACACCACCTAAGCGCGTTAATGAATACAACTGAGCACCGAAGCCACTCTGGTGGCTCCAATACACTCAAAACTCTCCAGCTTTGCTCAAGCGCAAGGGTTTTATCCTGAGCAAGATTCTGACCTCAGGGAGGAAAGGGATGCGCGCAGCCCTTACACTCTTGCAGCTCCCGTCTTTGCCAGGTGTTACGGGTCCAGCCCAAGGGAACAAAACGCAGTATTTTTCATCAAAAGAAAAATACGCTCATGGCACTGCATCAAGTGGGTTCCTAAAATTTTTCAAGGGCAAATGAAAAGGCTGATGGCTCCCTCTTGGGGAGTAGCTGCTCCATCTTCAATTTATTGTCAGGACAGGCATCCCGACCAGGGAAGAGGACATGTGATGATAAAAGCCCCTGAGCCACGTGCGCTGAAGCTCGGGTCGGTCACGCTATTGCACTCCAAAACTAGCACCCGGGAGGACCGCCACTTTTGTTTGCAGCTCGACTTGGCTCCCTTTCAAAGGGTCAATTGCATGCAGATTAAAAGCAGTATACCAAAAAGTATGGCAAATAGATAATACTTGGGTCAATTAAAAAAAAAATAGATTACTCATCCAGGCATAAAATCCTGGGAGCAAAGGAGGGTAACCTTAAACTATTCAAGTCTAAGAACAAGAGGTAGAGATACCTATGTACTTCATGGTGAAGGAGTTACAGCCTTCTGTCCTACAATCTCACGTATTTCACTTCAGTTGGCAACAGAAAACCAAAGATTCAATCTTCAATAGTCCAGAGAGAAAATTTTAACACTGGTGGGTTTGTTTGCACACAACAAAATTTAAGCAGACACTTGGCTTTCAATACTTATTTGAAAAAATAATTATGTTTTGCTGTATATTGAAACACTACCCTGAAGAATTCTGAGTTTCAGGTTAAGCATCTTCCTTTTTAATATGAAAGGCTAAATTCACATGCACACATTTGGAGCAGAGTGAGCTCAAGGGAAGAACTGGGTGCCCAATTTACCGAGGATCTTCTAAAAAAGGACCACGCTGCAGAACACAAGGCTGCAAGACCCAGAGACTCACAATGACTATCATTTTCCGAGGAATGGGAATGATGTAACCTCAGCCAACAAATTACATCACGACTGAGGTGGCTTTTAACTATGTGGTGTTTAACTTTGCTGGGTTTTTTTTGGAAAGAAGGCTTAGAACTGTAAGGAAGATACTTATGTTGACAGTGTCATGAAAATACTAAGGTCACTAGTCAGTGCATAGCCATGTCTGGGAACCACAGGTGACAGGCTGGGACCTGTCCTGGGATCCACGGGGTATTCGGGCTGTGACGGACACGCAAGGAGCGAAATCAAAGTCAGGCAGGCAAAGCTGCTGCTGCCCCCAGCACTCTGAACCCCCGGGAAGAGGGGCTGCATCTATTTGGAGCCAACCCCGAGGCACCCACTCGTCAGCAGAGCAGGGTGAACTCGTTTCATGCTCTTACGTGTGCTTGGCTGCAAAGCTATAGCGGTTCCGAGGATGCTTCCACGGCAAAGCTCGAGGGGTTCAGAGGCTGATTCACGAGCAGATCTGCCCTGCCAGCCTGGGGAAGCCAGCGCTCGCCCTGGGGCGGACCGAACTGCCACAGGCTTCAGCTATCTGATTTTGTGCCACCTGCCACACCTTCATTTATTATTCCTGTGGTTCTTTCATTATGATTGCACAGTATTAAAAAGCTATAATTTTCCAGATAGAATAGCACCAGCAGCAAGTAAACTCACAATTCAGCATTCAATTTCAACTGATTTCCTTGGTCATATTTTATGGCCAACTATGGGCAGAATCTTTCAAATCCTTACTTGAATCAATAAATAGTCTTTGACCTCAGAAACGCACCCACACAAGTAAAAATTAGCACAACTGAAGCTCCAGTTGATCTGGGAGCCAAATTTTAAAGGTGTTGCAAACTATAATATGGTGCAGGTGGTCAGTGTTTTATTACTCGGGAGTAAAGTTTACAGGAGTTTTATTTCTTTGCATATAAGGGAAGGCAATAAAATGCCACAGAGTGTGGATGTCAAGACCGGTTTTCCAGTATATTACTAAAACTATCTATATCGTTATCTATAGTTATTTAACCCAAGTTGCAGCAGATTCACTACATGTATCAAGTTTCCTAATGCATACTCTAATTAAAAAAAATAAATAAATAGTTGTAACGGTTTCAAGGATTCCAGCAGCATCACTGCTCACTACAGTCCTGTGCCCTACACAATAAAGATTTAAATTATATCAGAATGAAGAGTGAATGTATTTGGCCTGTTCCACAGATATTCACAGTTTAACCATTAAACAAGCATATTTTCAGAGGCTCCAATATTGTTAAAGACTTCTCAGAAACACGTACAAAACCCCACTCCCACACAGGTCCACCAGCATTACAGAGCACGGCCTCTTCTGGGTTAGCATCATAAAATCACCAGGCAATCCAAGGGAAGGTCTGATGCCCTCTCTCACTTTCAGCAAAGAGTTGCGCCTTCAGCTCCTGGTTCAGGAGTTTAAAACTGATACAGGTCTGGCTTGCATTCTGTAAATGGTAATTAAAAACCTGAAGTTAGGCTAAAAATACATGGTACTTCGCTAGCTAGATCATTTGCAAGTATTCTACCCAACCGGTGGAGTTGCTCCTGCTAGGCTGAAAGCAGCAGAACAAGAGCAAGGCTGTCCTCTCGTACTGAAAGCATGCGACTTAAGCCACTGAGAACTGCATGTCCTTGCCCCAACTGGAAATAAGATTTTTCCCTTCCTGTATATTCACCACCACTGCCTTTAAAAAGAAGCTGTATTACATTTGATGCACTACAACAGGCTAAGCCTTGATGTGCTGCAATTTGATTTCCTTACTGCAATCCCCATTCAGACCACAAGATAAACACCTTCCTTAAAGAGCTCTATCCCTCGTCCTTCAGAGCTGCTGCAGTTTGACGTGTAAATCAGTAGCAGCCACTGCCACGACTTTGTGTGCACGTGCATGTGCTGGCTATCCATTTGAATAGTTACGTTTTCACACTCTGGACATTTTAAATTCCCTTTAGGAAAAAAAAAATGAAGTGAGGAACAAATAGTTTAACAGCTGAATGAGTGAGTAGTCTCAAACTTATAAATACAGTCTTCATTTACTATCAAATCAGGTCTCCATTTGGAACTTTTGCTAACAAAGTAGCCTCTGTTGGGGAATTTTTTTTCCTTCTTTAAAATAACAGCACTGGCAAAAGCCTCACCATAAATTCAGTTATACCAGCACAAGTGCTTTGGCCTGCTTTGCTCACCAAATGAGAATAAGGTTTTGCTGCCAAACAGTGCTTGTGCCATGGTAGCTTGGAGGGTTACAGTAGCAAGGACAAAGCTTTGGGTGTATTTCCCTATAAAACAGCAAGTCCAGGGCTCCCCCCCTGCAAAGAGACAGGCTCAGCTGCATCCGGAACAACTACATTTGTTTTCCACAGCTTAACACGTCTCCCAGCAAGAGCCTGCAGACGCAGCATGGACCAAACTCTCCTTTTATTAGATGAAAGAGATGCTATCTGTGGCTTGTGGGCTTGTTTTTAAACAGTTTTCAATACCCACGTTTTGTTAGTGATTTATGATCTCAGAGCCAAGCTATTGCATAGGCTGCACACCAGCGAAGCCAGTGACAGAATTCAGGCAGATCCTCCTCCTCTCTCTGCTCACCCCCCTGGGGCCCAGCAGATGTGCAAAGCATGCCATCCTGGATCCAGTGACAAGCTCGCCACTTAACATCTGTTTCCCTTTAGCTTTAAAACCCTTATATCACAAAAGCCATTAGATGCTATGGATGACTGTCCAGGTTGTTTTTGGTTTGTTCTGCTTTTTTAATCGAAGCCGTTTTATGATCCTGAAATGCAGCTCTGAAAATAAAAGGTGTGTAATGGAAGTTTATCAAATTCATTAAGCCAGTACTTAGCTCTATAGAAAGCCTTGGCAATCATCCCTTTTACCAAAAGGTGTAAAAAAGTTGACATACTAAAATTAAAAAAGGTAGCATCAATAACCAAAAAAGTTTCAACCAGTGTTAATAAAACTCCCTTTAAGTCACAACAGTTTCAACAGGCAAATAGTCCCAATACAGGCATTGTAAAATAATAAATTGACTCCTATTGAAATATTATCAAATCAGTCTAAAAATGACTCATCTACACTGTTGTCATTAAGAACACATTAAGAATTCACTTTGTCATCAGATGCCGATATTGTTGCTCCAGAAAGTGTGGAGTATTAACTGCGATTTAGCAATTAAACATAGGTTTTAAAAAATCGGTTTGTCAATATTAATGCAAAAGATAGTTCCTTACATGGAAGTACTGTGCTTGCCAGACAAGTAAGATAATACTTTAGGTATAAATCAAACAAATTAAAGCAGAATTATACCACAGTTTTCCTTGAAGACTTAGGGTTTGTGTGTTGCTTCTGTCAATGTTTAGCAAACTTAAGAAGCAGAACCTTTGGTTCTTTTAGTCAAGTAAAAATATTCTCATGTTACCACAAAAATACAACTTCCAGAGAAAATGGAAGTCCATCAAGAAGTCCACTTTCAATAAAACTGAGGTAGCACTGCTCTTTTATTACGTGATGGGTAAGAGATTTAGATACAAATCGTCATCTACCACTCAGTTGACTGACAGGTACAGTAATTTTATAAAACAATCCCAACATTTAGTTTGAAACTCCAAAAAAAGGAATGATCTGGACTCATTCACTAGGAGTTAGCTTAAAATGGGAATTAGCCATATTACAAAAAGCTGTTGCTTATGTTGTTTAGAGCCTTATTACCGGGGGATTAATGCATTTATAGTTAACAGTTAACACTGCTGTTCATCTTGGTATAAAACCTTAAAATTATTACAGCCTAAAATTTCAACAATGTAAACAGCACTACACACAGTACAGACCTGCCCTGACAGATGTAGTCTGAAAAACTTAATCTGGCACTGTATAATTTAGCAATGTTAATTTAACCTAACTAAAAAGATCTACATTGTGCAAGAAGTATCAGACTGACTTATACTAATCTGAAGTCTTAAAAAAAAAAAAAAACAAACCAAAAATGCTTAACTTGTAGCCAGGGTCAAATATTTCAGGGCAAGAGTAAAAGGAATAACCAAAATTAAGAAAGTGCCTAAAACATGATACAGCATTTTAGAGCCCTTTCAAAGACAAGGCAGAAAAAGGTGTAAAGTAGAAAAATCTGGAGTCTCGGTAATTTCCAGAAACATCCAGAGTTTACATTTTATGAAGGGCAACAGGTTGCTTTCATCACTGCTGCTTCGACGCCGCTAAGTCTGTTCCTCCGCACACAGGCCCTCTGTGTCCGAAGACGTAATACATTTGGTTTCCTCTTCCTTTTTCCTTCGCTCCATTTCCCACTCCACAAAGGTATCGAAGAGACTCGGCCAGGCCTCGTCCTCGCTGTAGTTGCTAAGGTCCGGTCCAATCACCTGAGTAAAATTTAGAAACATGTTCCACGTGTCCCGGGAGATTCCCTTGATTCCTGAGGGGTTCTCAATTAGGAAGTGTAACCACTGGTCCAAAATGGGGGGCTTGTTTTGGGTGAAGACTAATTTCCAAAGGGCAATGGCTATTTCCCGATGTAGCGACCTCTGTCCTTCTTCAGAGTCCAGGCCGAACTGGAAGGTGAAACGATAGAGATCCTTGAATTTATCTTCCTGCTTGGCTTCGTTTAAGAGGCTGGGGAACCTTGCACAAATGCCATCAATGCTGTCCGCGTTTATTGCTTTGCAGCCTTCAAAAAACTCCTTCCTATTAAGCAAGAGAACAGAAATTAGATCAAGCGCTTCCCACCCTCCTCACCTAAAAAAAGCCCATCTCCATTCAGCTAGGCCAACTCAGAAGAGGGTTATCTGGACAAGACAAGGTGTGCTCTCAGCCCAGGTGGCACAAAAATCTTGACAGTGGGAGCTGTTGGAAGGGGAGACGTTTCCAAGAAATTTCTCATGGCTTGGGGAACCACAGACACCACTCAGATCTGCTGGGGCACTGTTAGCATTCGAAAGTGATTCTGCTGTCTAGCTTTCTGACTACGATAATACCACATCCAGTGCCTTTCACAATAAAAAGTGAATAAAATTTACCACAGAAGAAATGCCAAATGTTTGAAAACACCACATTTATAGACTGAAGTGCCATATATAAATCAGCTTGATTCAATATTGCCCATGCCTAAATGCCCATGCTATGGGCAAGCTGTTCTCAAGGGACAGAGCAGTTCACTGGTGGCTTTCCTGTGGTTTTTGGTTGCTCTTCCAGCCTGCAAAATAAAAAGGGTGCCAGCGGCGACAGTCAGCAAGGCACCTGCCAAGAGAGTGGAAGAGAGCACATCATCACACAACACAGGCTACAATGCAATGTATAAACACTGCTCGAAGCACCAGGCCTATACTAATTAGCCTACTAATAATCTGGCCCAGTGGGTAGATGGTTAGCTCTGATTTCTCTAATGCTCGTGAGCAAGTGTTATAACCAGCCAATATTAACCAAAGCCAGCAGGCTCTGACGCAGGGCAGGCTGGAGGGAAGACAGGAGATGGGGCAGTGCTCAGGAGAACGGAAGACTGCATTGCTTTCTTTGACAGAAGTCGTCGATCAGCACCCGTATCACGGAGCGTGCCGTTTAACAAAGGTAACCTCTCGCCACTAGATTTGCCCTCTCTCCAAGAAAATCAAAACGATGTTAATAAAACTCATGGTGGTTGTGCAGAATCACAGACACTACTTGCGATTCCTTCACAATGTTAGCAAACACCTGCGCCGTCAGCCTCTAGTAAGTCCACGTTTGCATTCCAGAGTAACTCATCCATTTGACACGCACCCACATCCACAAAGACTCTGAGGATGCTGGAAAAGCTGTGTTCAGGCTCAGAACACCAAAGTAATTTTGAAAGTTAGAAGCTGAGTAAAAATAGGTAGCGTTACTCAAACCAATCTGGATAGACTATTCATTCTCTCTCAGCCAGTCCCTGTAGGAAGTCTTTACTTGCTCTTACCTGGACATTGATAATCAAGTTGAGGGGGCTGTTGTAGTTTTGGGTTTGTTGGTTTTTGTGTTTTGTTTTGTTTTTTTTCCCCTGGTAAGTTTTAGTCTTTCTGTTGTTTCCTGTAGCATCACATATGCTATAAGCCTGCTGACTGACCCCCTTGTCCAGGAGGACAGACAGTACTTTAAATAACAAATGACTTGTCAGCCTGTATGAAACAGCTACCAGTGTCAAAAACCTTGCATTTCCGTCTCTCTCCGTGCTTTAACAGGATTACGCTTGGAAAAAGACATTAAGTGTAACACTGGTTGGGCAGGAACAATTCTTAGGAAGCAGTCTGTCATTCTTTCACAGAACGATAACAGAGTTGGTAGCAATTACAAAGGAATCTCACATTACTTTAAAGCAAAAATTAATTTCAGTGTCCAATCTCATCACCAAGATAATGCTGGATACAGTAAAACTTCTGTTGGTAAATCAAGAATAAATGAATGTCTACAGAATCTCACTACACTGTTCATCATTAGCAGCATAATGCCCAAAACCACATTTTCGGTTCTGAAATCCACTGTGAGGGGAAGGGCAAAAGAGGACAACATAAAGCTTACCTTCTGCGGTAGTAGGAATTAATTTGATCAAAATGCAAGTGTTAGAAGAAATAAGTAAGTGAAGCTAATGAGGCTGTCTCTCCAACATACAAATGACAGGATATACTTTAACATATGAAAATAATTACAAGTTCTACAAGAACTAACCTTGTAAATTTGCACATGGTAGCAGCCTGGAATTTCCAAGCCAAAACTAGCACTTTAAATTCAGTGGGATCAACACAGAGGTCATTGCAAAATCGTTCCATTCCTTCTTCCAGTATGGCATCTTCCCGTTCATCCTTATACCTCCTAAATAACTCCCCGATCCTTTGGAGCGAAGATTCTTCTGTGCTGGAAACAGAGTCTTTCTTTGTATCTCCAGAAAACGTTGGAGGCTGACTAGACTCTACAGCAGCGTCCGTTTTCTTTGTCCCATTCACAAGTATATCTCCTGAAGACTTCCCACAAGCTGAACCATGGTCGTCTTTGTGGACTGCACTTCTCTTACTATGCGACTTGCTGCCGGATTCCCTTTCCCCATTTTTGCTGCCAAGGGTAGAAGAAGGATTCTTGCACTTCGTGACACACTGGCCCATGATGTTGCAAGCCCAGCTTCTAGAGCAGTCCCCTTGCCGTCGGACACCCTCGCAGCTGCTCTTCAACACATCTCACCATGCCATTAGCGGCAGTCAACTAACCTGAAAAACAGTTTCAGAGTCAAATTGCTGTTTCTCCACAAAGAATATTGTAAGCATTAAATGTGGGATAACATTTGGCAGTAAGAGACCGACTTCAGGATATTTAAGTTTTGCGTACTGAAAAGGAGTAGTGTACAGAAGGTTGGCATATGCCATAAATTTCAGGCAATTTCAAGCTGTTTTACCTAGAAATCAATGCAGCTCACTCAGTGGCTGCAGTACACTAACAGGTCCTAATAAAGGAAATTCCTAAAATTCTTACTGTAACATAGGTTACAAAGAGGTTGATTCATGTACAGGCTTCATCAAGACAGACTACTCTAACCCAGAAATATTTTAAAGGAAATGGTTTTTAAAAGTATACCCATATTTTATACACAGAATATAAACAAAGCGGGGGGGGATGGGGACACTGATGGGACAACCTGGCAGAGGCTTAAGTAGTAGATTTAGACTGTACCTTCAGCAAATGGGCAAAAGGGTTTTTTTCAGGGGGGGTGGGGTTTTTTTGGGGGGGAGGGAGTTGTGTTTTGTTTTTTTTTTTAACAGAGTTTGGAATCTAGATTTTTGTTCTTAAAACATACACAGAGCGTGTTTGCAGAAAGGAGGCAACACTCACTTTTCATGCAAGACGGTGTTTAGGAATTATTCATTGTTTCAAGTGGGCTCCTCTCTTCAGGTAACGAGACAGGGAGAGGGGGCCTTTTTAATGAAACTTTTTCAGACACACAGACAGACAAGAAGTAGTAATTCCAGTTCATTTAAAAAAAAAAATCAAAATTAAAATGCCAAAATTATTTCATCATACTCTGTTTTTATAAATCACAATGTTAAAGCCTTGCATATTTGGAAAAGATATTTTACCCACAGAAAAGGTTTCTTAAATTTTCCCTATTAAAACCAAACTAACCCTCTGACACTATCCTATCAGCATGCAGCCATGCCGTGGGCAGTCTATTTCTCAGAAACATCAACTCCAAGAAAGCAATTGCTTATCATATTCCTCCTTTACCCACTTATTTGCATTTCATCTCCACTGTCAATTAGGCAAAAGCCTCAAACATAAAAATTGGGTTTGCCTTGTCTTTGTTTACTGCTTCCAGGTTACAGAATTAGAACAAGAAATAAAAGAGACAAAAACTAAAAATGAAATAAAATAGATGTCATGTCAGTTTTTCTGTATTCTTTCTTGGGTAGAGCTCTTCTGAAACCGAACCCCTGTTTTAAGCTGCAAACCAGCTTGGAAGAGCAGCACCAAGTGCAGATGAATTCTCCAGATATTAGGATTACAAACGTAAATCTTCTCTCAGCCATTATACCTGTTTTGGCAAAACAGCATGTATGCATTTTCACGAGCAAAAAAAGTATTTTTGCCTGTACAACTACAACAGCCAAGATGCTGGTTTCAACTATCTGGCTTCCCTTCCCCTCCCCAATCCCTTTTCTTAAGCCCATAACCCACAAACAGAACTAACAAAAACCTATTTTTAAGCAGCAGAAGGAACAAACAGCTGGTACATCCTTGCATCAAAATGCTTTAAAGATGAACTTTGCAGCATCATTTTATAGGCAAGTTCATTTTAATGTATTCAAGAATAATTTCTTATTCATTTGTATTTTAAAGGATTCATTAAAAATATGCATTTCCACAAAAGCAACCCAAAAGACAATTTCACTGGTCCTTAGTACTTCACAGCTCGTTGTGAATTGCAGAGTACAGCCTGGCCCTGGTTGCTGTGCTGCCATGCGTCTGAGCAACATCGTCTTCTCTAGTCTACACCAGTCATTTTTTCATTACACCAAAACAAACAGGATATTATTAGGCAGTGTAAATTACTGCTTAGTGATTAACTCCCAGATACCAGCCTTCCTTTTCCCCCCCCTTAAATTCATCAGAATTCAAATGCTCAATCTACACTAATTCTTGTTTACCCATCAGTTTCTCAAAGGCAGCTAGCACTACTTTGGCTAAGTTTTTCTGTAGAGAGAAGCACGCAAGTAAAGGAACAGAATAAAAAAAAATCCTGAGTAAAAACTAGTATTGGAGTTTAAAGTAGAGTTTAGCTAGTTTATAAAACTTACTGCTCAAACACATAACAGCAATTATTAGCTGTTGGGGATTTGGAACAGCTTTTCCCTATGGGCAGGTTAAAGAATACCTGCCTATTAGTGAATGGTACTTTCCTCTGAAGTAGCTGGTAGTAGTCAAATCACATGCAGCATAATGGCCAGAGATGAATCCAATTCACTTTAGGAACCCCAATTTAAAGTTTGTTTTTTTTTTTTAAGAAAAAAAAAAGACAGTTTGCAAGACTAACTTACATCCTCTGTCCATAAATTTTCCTAACGGAAGTGATTCATGCTGTCATGCTTCCTAAGCAATGGCTTGTATTAACAATGATAACAATCTAATAGTCAAGTCTACAAAGTGACATCACCAGTATGATGAAACAGACGGGGTTTATTGTCATTTGCTGTCATGAAAAGACAGTATCACGATACATAGAGGGAAGGTCAGCCAGCATTATTAAACACCTGTATGTAGGGAAGTGTCCCAGCAGCTGTTTCCAAAAACCACTGGAGAGCACAGTAACCTTAACCCATAGAGCGCAAGTTAGCCACGTCCCCCGCAGCGTACCCCTCTCACAAACACGTTTTCGGTACTCCAACCTACTTGCCTGCCAAGGAGCTGACTGCTGCTCCCAAACAGCCACTGCCCGGGCTCTGCTAACACTGCTCTTCCCTGCAGTAATGGATTTCTTCCTTCCTCCTCCCCGCCGAGGAGGTTTTCAGAGCACAATCCTACTCGTTATGAACAAACACTAGAAGATACTGAAGTACAGTTGCTGCAATTCCTCACTTTTCTACTACTTGAAACTTGATGCCACGTGCCAGATACTTTGAAGCATTCTACCCCAAAAATAGCAAAACCAGCTTGGGGAAAAGAAAACAGTCAGACTGCATCCGCTGGCAGTTTATGCATGTATCTGGTTTTGTAAGAGAAGTCTTTTGGCGCTCCATCAGTTACCCTTTTATAAAATGCCTTCACTGAGCTGGATCCACTTCACTTACTAGTCACCTCCGCTTCCTACATGACTCAGGTTTCAAGGCATGAAAGGAACAAGAGCCTCGGAAGGAGATAGAAACAAGTGGGAGAACTCGGCCCTTTTGTTAAGGAAGGCTGGAGAGAGGATCCAGTTGCAGCATCAGGAGCTGCACTGAACTCGGTGTTCAAGGAGCATGAAAAAGCACTCCCAGGAAAGCGAACAGAGCTACTCAGTTAACTGTGGAGTAAAGCAAATGTCACGTCTAGGTCATGCCAATTACAGCTAAGTGAGGACAAGGACGTGCAGAGATATTTCTCCCAGCTGGATTGGGAACTACAAGTATAAAGTTCTCACAGAGCCAAAGGTTATACTGGATTGGTGGCAAAGCACCAATTCCCAAAAGGATCGGTTCCCAGGAGCAAAATCATTGTAACAGCGTTGTACAACGTAACAGTGAGACACAAAGGCAGCACTGACCACTAGTTTTGCCATTCTACTAAAAAAGATCAAAATCCAGGGCTAAGGTTGGAATGTACTCAGCGCTACAGGATGCGGTAGTCCCAAAGAAGTTCGATTACTCAGACAAGTATTGAGCAATAACCTACAGTAAACACGAATCACCAAGATGCCCATGAGGCCATCTTCCACACAATAGGAACTGCAAAGCAGAGACCAACAATGATGTTCTCTGCTCCTTTCTAGAAGGGAGTAAGCAACTGGAACCACAGGAAGACTTGTGCTGGTGAATACAGCCAGTTAAAGGAAAGCCACCCTCTAAGAACAAAGGATGTGTAGAACCATATTGCCCAATATATTAAATGGAAAACCTGAATAAGATTGGAAAGACCTTGCTAATGCTTGGTGCGGTGTTTTGTTTTGAGGGGGTTTTTTTTTAGGTTTTTTTGGTGGTTTTGTTTGGGTTTGTTTTGGTTGGTTTTGTTTGTTTGTTTGTTTGTTTTTTAAAGTGCTGTAAAGAAATCAGTTTTTCTTCATTTTCAAGTGACCAGATCACACGTAACCCCAAGATTTGAAGGGAGCAAAACAACAAAGTGACTCAGTAATAATTCTCTGTCATACAAGCACACCATGGCACAATTGAAAACAGCAGCACTGAAGTGGGGGAGAGCTGGCAGGAGGAGAGAAGATGCAAAGGAGATATTTAAGTAACCCTGTATTTTTCTTTAATGACCGACATTATTGTAATAACAGAAATTATTGGACATGTCCAGAGAATAACAAAACACAGCCAAGCATTATGCCGTTTAATAAAGAATTGCATCAGAAGGTGTTTACAATAAGTTTCAAAATGCAGAAAGTATCAAGAGAGAAGAGGAAAAAACCCTCCATTCAAGAACACCTCAAAGACAAATTTAGGAAATCTCACAACAAAAGGGGACACAGCTCAGCCAACCATTAAATCCCTTCCCAAGTAGCAGTTCACTAGCTAAGGCAAAGACAACATTGCTAGAGCTTAACTAAGTCTCAACCCAGCCTCAACTTTTCACAAACACTTGAGCATAGTTTGTAAGAATTGTACAGAATTTCACTATGCATTATCTACCTTTTAGTGGACAGGGATACATGACTTCTAAAATAGCTGAGTAGGGAACAGCATTACGGGTGGCCTGTCTTTTTCCAGCTCTGAACAGATACAGACAGCTTTCCATTGGGAGGCTTGAGAGGATCATTGCAACTGCTGAACCAGAAGCAATCACTGCTCTGACAGTTGATGCTGGGCAAGTGATCTTGTAAGCAAACATCTAATACTTACATAGTTTCAGCTACACGGGGAATCATTCCACTAGCTGCACAGCCTTCTTCAGGCTCCCTGGGTTCCACATGGAACGCTGCAAGACAAAAGACCACACAAATCTTTACATTTACAAGAGGCTATGAAAACCATAAAATGCACTAAATCGCTCAGAAGCGACTATACATTTAATAAAACCCCT